ATTATTAATTAATAACTGATTACATTAAATATAATATACCTTTAACAATTACTGAATTTGGTAGTTATACATTTTGGCAATTTTTTAAATTAATCCCTGATTACATTAAATAATAATATCTTTCACTTAGAAGATTGGATGACGATCTTAACAATTACTCGATTTGATAACAATACGCTTTTGATGATTTTCATTGTTAAATATATAGAATAAAAATTAAATCATATAAAAATTATTATCATAAATTAATCTTGTTTACATTAAAAATGATATACAGAGGATCTCTGTTAATATCAACTTTGTTAATATCAACATTTTGTTATTATCAACATAAGCTATAGGATAAATTTCTATATATATAAATTCTCACGCATATATCAACTTTATTATAATTCTTTATTAATATCAAAATTAACATAAAAAATTTTTTTTTATAATAAAAATTTTCCGCTAATAACCTTAACCAATGAGAATCAAATAAAAAATCACGTGCTATATAAATAACGCTAGAAACGTATACGCAATTCAAAGCAAATAACTAAAAGAACAAAATGTTTATCCTCATTATTACTATAAATTATGAGCTTATATGTATTATCATTGTCTCTCTGCCACAGCGTAATGCAAATATTCCAAATTGACCATAACTTCTTTGAATTCCCTTTAACATTGTCTCCCAAACGTTTCCAAAGAAATCTTGCCAATGGCATATTATAAAATGGGCAATGTCAAATAAATACTATGCAAGATATCTATCTTGGTTTTATACCCCTCTTAATTTGTACCGGGTATGCTTCAAGGCTGTTTATTGTGGTGTTTTGTAAAAGATGTGAGTACAAATCAAGAGCCTATTTAATATTTTTTCTTCACAAAATACCCTGCCACACAATTACTCGGAGATATAAATCAATATTTGTTTTTACGTGGATGCAATACCCGAATATTTTGTATAATAAGGTAATTACTCAAACTGATTTTTACCATACATTTATACCAATACACAATAAATACGCAATTCACACAATCCTTGATCACAATCGCATACAGCACTAAAAAAAATAGAACTAAAGTTAAAAAAATTTTATGAGCGATGGGCATTCACTATAAACATACCTTGAAATATCAACAAAACCGGAAAAGCAATTTTATTGAGAATGCTACCTTACTCTCCTTACAATAAGTGTTCGAAATTGGTATTCTTAAAGTGTTTATAAGAACAATAATCTATGCACAGCCTAAATTTTTTATTGTTCTCAATCAAAAATTTTGTGTGCACAGTGTGTTCTCATAAGTAATATATTGTTAATTTTTCCCTCCCTTTTTTTTTTAATTTTTTTATTCTTTTTTTCTTTTTTTTTCTTTTTTTTTTTCTTTTTTATCTTTCTTTTTATATTACTAATTTGAGAACGCATCAATTTAATATATTGTTCTTGCAAGAACAATCTTTAAGCTTGGAATTTCAAGCACTGTTTACGATCCTCATTTTCGGTTAAGTTTTATGCACAACATCTGTATGTATATTGCTTTTTTTGATATGACTTTTATAATCAAAGCCATGGAACCCATAATTTAGAACCGTGAAACTGCCTAAAAAATTAAAATAAAAGCAAGTTAATAATAATGTAAAAAAAAGAAAAAAATCATTGAGATAAAAAAAATTATCGTTGCTGTAATAAAAATGCCTAAGGTATTATAGATGAAGTTGATAATAAAAGTCTGTTATAAAAATAATGGTTTATCATAATTCGAATTTAAAATTGTGAAATTAAAAAAAAAAAATAATAAAAAATCAAAAAAAAAATTAGTATCAAAATGAACAAAGAACCAGAAAGACCACGAAAAAAAAAGAATGACAATTTCAATAAAAACAAAGCAAGAAATATATGAGCGAAAAAATAAAACCCATCTCTTAGCATTGACCAACTTTCTGTGGAATATAGTTGTGACCAAAGCACAATATCAAAAATTTTGAAGGAAAAAAATAAATGGTTGACTACGCAGCTAACTGAATATGAAGAAAAAAAAAGTTAATCATCTAGCCAAGTTCACAGAATTAAAAAAAGCTATGGATATTTGGTTACGAAGAGTTCTTTCACAAAACGGAATATTAACGGATGGGATTTTGCAAGTTCAAGCAAAAAAATTTGCAGAATTATTAGACATACCAGAAGCTGAGTTTAAGGCGAGTCAAGGTTGGATAGATAGGTTTAAAAAAAGACATGATGTTTAAAGATATAAGATCCATGGAGAATCGGAAAGTGTACTTATGGAAGACCTCCCTGAACAAAGACGAAAATTAGTTGAATTACTTCTACAATATAAGCCAGATGATGTTTATAATGCTGACGAAACCAGTCTCTATTATAGAATAACACTTGCGACAAAACCCGTTAAAGGAAAAAAAAAAGTAAAGACCGAATAACAGTTCTTCTTTGTACAAATGCAACTGGCACAGACAAACTCAAACTATTAGTAATAGGAAAATCGGTAAAGCCACATTGTTTTAGAAGGGTTCGGAGAGAAAATCTTGGTGTCAAATATGATGCTAGTAAGAAAGCGTGGTTGACCAGTGATATTTTCGAACGTTGGATAAAATCTTTGAATACCGAGTGCCGACTAAAACGCAAAAAAATTCTTTTATTAGTTGATGGTGCTACATCTCATTCAAATAATGATAAACTTACTCACGTCAAACTTCATTTTTTACTACCCCATACAACTCCTTACTTGCAACCGTGTGATGCTAGAATAATCCATTCATTTAAAGCCCACTATCGAAAATTATATCTTCAAAGTATTATAGATGCCATTAATGCTAATAAAGAAATATCTCCTCTAATCTCTTGGACGCAATTAGGTAATATGCAAATCAAAAATCAATTAATCAGTTTGTTGATCAAGTTAGCAACTAATCGATTTGAATCAATTCATTATGCGATCATCTATTATAACTCAAAAAAAAAAAAACAGTTAAAAATATATAAATAAATAAAATAAAATAAAATTAAAAAATAAAAAATAAATAGAATAAAATAAAATAAAATTAAATTAAAAAATAAATAAATAAAATAAAATAAAATAAAATAAATAAATAAATAAAATAATAATTAGTAAAATTAATCACTCAAAATTGAACCAACTAATTGATCAAAAAACTTTTACATATCACTACACTAGGTTCATTACAGAAGCATGGAATAATGTACCCTTAAAATGATCATTAATTGTTGGAGAAAAACTGAAATAGTGCCATCAAGTGTGTGGAGTTGGTTAAATTGGAATGTGTTAAACAATGAAGAAACAGGAATTAGAACTAGCTTCAACATTGAAACCAGAATTGAAGTCAAAGCTGAAGGTAAAATCAAAGCTGAATTTGAAATTGATACTGACGGTGAAATTGGAGTCGAAGTAGAAGTTAAAGCTGAAGTAGAAGTTGAAGCCGATGATAAAATTGAAGTTGAAGCAGAACTAGAGAATCTTATTTCCGAAATCCAATCTAATTATATGCGAGTAATGACTGTGAATGATTATATTCGAGTTGATGATACTCTCAAAATAGAAGAAGTTGTCTTAGATGAAGATGCTATTATTAAAGAAATTCTTCCTCAGTCCAATCCCAATAGTGATGATAATGAAAGTGACATTGAAATCAAGAAATTTCCCTATTCTGTCGACTTGAAACAATGTAGACTACTCATACAATATGTAGAACAACAAGAGCCAGTAAAATTTGTTCAGGATCAAGACTTACTACAACTGTAGAGTTTGTTAAAATGAATTCGGTTGAATGTATTCCAATCAAAGAAGCAAAAAAAGGTAACTGATTTTTTTTAAAATATAGTGAGAAATAATGTGAGGAAAAGTTAGTTTAGTCCTTAAAACATTGTAAAAGTAACAGTATATAGAGGAAAACAGGTCGCACTTACTTTTTTTTCTACCTTGGCTTTATTTTGTCATTTTTTGGATCTTGTTCAGTATAGGTAACACTATAAATAAATGCATTAATAATCAATTGATTTAGAATAGGTGTTATCTATACTGTACAAGATCCTTTTTTTTTTTTTTTTTTTTTATCTTAGAATTTTATTTTTTCTGTTATCTAATATTTACGGATCCTGTAAGAGTAATGTACCTCCGAAAAAGATGTTTTGCGGCATTACCAACTACTTGGCTTGTAAGTGAAATAAATGGCTTTGCTTTGAAAAACAGTTCAGATTCAAAGATTTGAAATCAGGTCAAGGAATAAATTCGTTATTTAGTAAAATTTCGTTTACCAAAGCTGTGATCAAAATTTATAATTTATAAAAAAGTCATGATTTGAGTACATAACCCAAATTTAATTCTGAAAAGCCAAACTAAGATTAGATTAGTTCGAAAAAAAAGCATGATTAATTGAAGAAAAGGAAGTAATACTTATTTTCTGCCTTTAAACTACATTCTCTTATTGGTTAAAACTTTCATAATACTAACCCCCTTTATTATCAACCCCTGCATATATCAACCAAATCATCTGAACCAAATAGGTTGATATTAACAGGGGTCCTCTGTACCTTTCACTTGAAAATATCTTAGAAGATATGCTTTCGAAATTATTGATCAAATAGTAATGAACAATATCAAATTATATTAATTATAAAATTATATAAAT